ATATATATTTTAGTTTAATTACTTCTAAACAATCTAAGTTCTAATTTTATATATACTAAATATTTAAATGCAAGTAAAACCATAAACATTTAAATTAAAAAAAACACTAATAATATCTCAAATCTTAATAACAGTTATAACTTAAACATTTAAATTCAAACAAATACTAACAATTGTATACATCTTCATATTGACAGGGTAGGACAATAAAAGAAGCAAAATCAGGACAACAGCAGAATTAGCAACAAAAAAAGAAGAAGCAGAATGAGGATAAAAAAAAACAAAAGCAACACAGGACTGCAAAACAGAAGCATCAACAGAATCAACAAAAAAAAATAGAAGCAGAATGAGCTANATCGAAGCAGCAACAGAATCAAAAAAAAAAAAATAGAAGCAGAATGAGCTAAAAAAAAAACAGAAGCACAATGATCATGACAGGAGCAGAATCAATTGTAAACAATTTCATATGTAATTATATACTGAATAAAAAAAAGCAGAACAGAGGCACATTTCACATGTACTAAAATAATTAAACATGGTATAAGCATAGACCACTTTTTGGTACCATTTGTATATATATAAGAAAAGGGAAAAGTATAACCAAGACATATCAGAGACACTTCTTTGTAGAAGAATCTATTATTTACCCCCATTTCTGATACTCCTGCTTCCTTTTTTTATCATAATTGTCATGCAATGCAGTCGCCTGACTCCCACATCCCACAAATATTCTAAATGAATTCAGCAACACAAGGAAAAAAAAGGAATGTGTTTTGTTCGAAACATTGTTTATTAGAAAAAAAAAATAGACTAGCAATAGTCTAAAAAAAAAGTCATTAGTGATTAAAAAATAAAAGAAACTACTAACCTGTAATCAGAAAAAAAAAAAAAAAAGTGAAGCAGAATTGCTTCTTATAATAAAGCGTTTGCTTTTTCGCTTTTTTCGTTTTTTCTCGCTTTTTTTTCACTTTGCTCACGTTCGCTTCGCCTGGGATCCTCCAGGCGAGATAAGCTCGCCTCGCCTCGCTTCTCGCCTAGGTGAGCGCCTAGGCGAGCTTTTCAAATCATTGGTCACCCCAAATATTCGTAGCTGCAGGTTGCACCTGGCAATTATCCTCTAGTACTCCTTAAAGATAGAGGAAAAAAGGAGTATTCAAGTGCTGATTTGTTAAACTTATTTCGTGCATAGCAGGTTCTCAACTATCTTGTTTTATTCCTGCAACACCTTAATCAGTGGTCTATAACTATTGGATGCATTAATCCCACTTGTCGTGATATAGATTTTGGACAAAGCTTTTTAGCATTAGTTTTGAACTGCCATTGATGAAGGAATTTAAGGGACTGAGGTCTCGTCTATGCTATTATGTAGTCACAGCATGGATAGGGTCTTTCTTTATTTGGTAATTCTGTGGTTTTTGTGGAAGATTGAATTGAGATCAAAGTGTCTGAAACAGCTTGAGTAGCCCTAACAGGTTTTTCGGTTTTATGACCTTCCGCATGATGGTTGTACGCAATTATCCTGTACAGTTCTTGAAAGTATATTTATATTTTTCGTTTAGTTGATTTGCTGAACATTTAAAAACTCAGATAAAAGTTGATTTGGTTTCCAGGCTAGTGGTCTTCCCCCCTCCATTTTTCTGTGTGTGTTTTTCATCTGCTTCAGTTGGATGGTTTTGATTTGATTTGTTTAGTTGCATTATTACACATAGCCCTGGTGTATATGTAACAATCATTAGTTGGATGCTGTATAAAACATTTGTTAGTAATTTCATTTCTCGGCTGGTTCAAAAAAAAAAAATTCATTGCTCGGCAGTGGTTATCCTACACAGATTTGTTTGTGTAGATAAATTCTATTTACCTATGTGATTTTGCAGATTAATTTAGCAAGGGAAACACTCAAAGGGCTGTTGGCTCCTTGGTTAACCAAAAGAAGACAGCGGTTTGGATCCCATGCTTCAGCCAATGGAGAAGTTCCATCTGGGAAGGATATCTCTGCAAGGAATCTTACTCTTTCAAGAGTTGAGGTAGATGGTAATGCTGAAAATGATTCTGTGGTGTATCCTCCATTTGAATTTTCGGCTGCTTCCTCTCCTTCAATTATTACTGAGGGCAATCAAGGTGGTCCATGGAGGAAAAAAATTACTGAGCTAGATGGAACTGAAGATGAGAAAGACTTCCCCTTGTGGATTCTGGACTGCGTGTTGAATAACCGCTTGCCTCCCAGGGAAAATACCAAGTAAGTTTCCTGCATATCTGATTTTTGGGCATCTAATTGCCCTTTGACTTGTGATAAATCTGTTATATGAGGAACTGAAATTGCTTGTTGTCTGACGGAGTTGAAATATGCCTTCTGCATGTGTTGCAAAATTGTGAATACATAGTGAATACATACTTGAAAGGGATGCTTGGTTTTGTTGAATTGGTTATTAGTCCTTTGTAGGTATATCATGTAAATTGCTTGGACTGTGCCAATTGTTACATTAGAATCATATGCTGTTGCTTTTTTCCTTGTTTTGCCCTTGATTCCTTCTTTATTTTTGTGCCTTACTTCTCTGGTTTTTCCCTCAATTTTATGTTCATTTGATCTCTCTTCCCCCTCCCTCTCTTTCCCACCTTTTTTTTTTAGCACTTTTTGCATGGTTGTAAACAATGTTTATTTTTATAAGTGATTCATTTTTAGCTGTGTGAATGCTTAATACCAGTGAGTTGTAATACTTTTCTTGTTCTTTAGCTCTTAAAAATGACCTTCCTCATATGCTTTAATATCTGCAGATGTAGCTTTTATTTACACCCATGCGAAGGTTCAGCTGTCGAGATCCTTACTCAAGGGAAATTGAGTGCACCTCGTATATTGAGAATACATAAAGTAAGAGTTTATTTGGATTTACATATTAGTTTAAAATGTTATGAAGTCTTTTTTCTTTGAGTTGCATGATTGATGATCTGTGGAAAGACACTACACTCTTTTGAAGTTGACCATCTAGCCTTATTAAGTGGTTTCTCCATTGAAGGTTGTGCTGTCTCATGTTTTCTGTATACATAATTTCCCATAATTTTGCAGTATGTGCGGAAAGCACAACAGTAATGGTAGAAAAGAGATATTAAGGTATCTGACTATATAGATTTTCTTTTACGAGGGGATATCCGGGAAAGGATGTCATTACTTACCTTCTTACTGCCTTTCAAGTTTACAATAGATTTGATCTTGCTGCTAGGCGCATGTAGGTTTACTTATCCTCACCTTCTGTACCGCAGGCTTCTCACCGGGTGGGAATCTTCAATATATAGGCCATAGTTTCCTTTATGGGCCTAATTGTGGAGTGGAGTTCAGCATCATTCTGCACCACATACACATCCACCCATGAAGCCTTGAATAGATAAATTTTTGGGTAGCAATTTTTATTGTAATTTTTAGATGTAAATCATCTATCGAAATATTATGCTCTGCAGAGCATGTATCTTCAAGTCTTAATAAGTCGCCTGCTTTGTTTTTGTAGGTTGTTAATTGTCATAAAAATAATGGTTCTCGACAAGCCATTGTATAGTATGAATTCTGATGGAACTTGTGCTGTCTCACATTTTCTGTATACACAATTTCCCATAATTTTGCTGTATGTGCAGAAAGCACAACAGTAATGGAAGAAAAGGGAAATAAAGTGGGAATCTTCAATATATAGGCAATAGCTTCCTTTATGGGCCTAATTGTCCAGTGAAGCTCAGCATTGTTCTGCACCACATATACATCCACCCATGAAGCCTTGAATAGATAGATTTTGGGAAGCAATTTTTATTGTAATTTTAAATCATCTATTGGAATATTATGCAATGTAGAGCATGTATCTTCAAGTCTTAATAGGTTGTCTGTTTTGTTTTGTAGGTTGTTAACTATGTCATAGAAAAAATGGTTCACAACAAGCCATTGGATAGTATGAATTCTGATGGAACTTTTGCTCCTGGACTACCTGGAGGCCAGTTACAGCATTCAACTGTTGGAGGTGATGATTCTTTCCGGTCTGGGTTGAAGCAATGGCAAAAGCTCAAGCCCTCCTCTATCGAGATATTGTGCAATAATCAGGCAAGTTAATGTGATTTGTTGTATGTTAAATCATGAATTATCGATAAATATATATTTTTTGTTTTGTTTTTGATAGGGAATTGATGAGCTATAGTCAATGTAGTTAGCAACCACATGGAATAATATATGTACTCAAGTATTTAATGCTTAAAAAAGAAATAACCGGAACGAATATTACATTAGCTATCTTGTATATATTATTTCATTTACAAGGGCTCGTGTTGCAGAGATCATGGGAGAGAAAGGAACTAGTTGACCAGTCCTCCTTTCATATATACAATGTGAATCAGTGAAATGCCTAATCCAAAAATAAAATAAAACATTGAGATATGCCTATATCACCTATCCGTTCTGACTTGCAAGTTTTTTATTTCTACCCATTTTTAGTATTTTTGAAATGGTACCAAGCTTGATACATATGCATTATCTTCTCCATGCACAGTTAAAATTGGACAAGCAGTATGAGGGTTTGTAATAAATGAGAAACATAGACAAGAGGAAAAGAGAAGAGAATAATCAGTTGTGTAGACTACATTGCCCTAAGCTCTCTTATTTATAGGAAAGTGATATTATGAGAATTAAAATATTACTCTACACTACCAGTAATATAAAATAAGAATTCTTAACACTCCCCTTCAAGTAGCTTGAAGTAGAGATTATTGAATATAGGTTAAGCCAATGGTTTGGTAAGGATGTCCCCCCAACTAATCATTAGATTTGATGTATGGTGTGATAATCTACTTACGCATTAAAAGATCTTGAATAAAATGATGTCTATTTTGATATATTTAGTCCTCTCATGAAATACTGGATTACTGGCAATGAAAATATATTTCTGGTTGCCACAATGCAACTCAATAGGACATGACACACTGATACCTATATCATTAAGTAGAGAACGAACCCATAACATTTCACATACAGTTTGAGTGATAGCTCGATATTCAGCATCTACATTCGAACGGATGACCACATTACGTTTCTTGTTACATTAAGTAACAAGATCACCACCGGTAAATATCTAGTAACTTGAAGTAGATAGTCTATCAACACGATTACTTGTCCAGTCAGTATCAGAGAAGTTAGTAATAATCATAGATGATAAAGGACAATATAATAATTCTTTATTCGGTGCTCCTTTAAGATACTGAAATATATGAGAGACCACCTCCTAATGAGGTTTACAAGGAGCATGCGTGAATTGACTAATCGCATCAACAACAATGTAAATATTAGGACGTGTAACTTTGAGATAATTAGCTTACCAACCAATTTCTGATAGCACCCTACATCAAAGCATGGACACGAACATGTAGACATGACATTTCTCAAAAAAGTAGGACACGGACACATTGGGATACACTATAGATAATTGTCTTATATATAGAATTATATAATTTATCCCTAAAATATAGTGATAATGATATATTATTTGTAAGAAATTCAGTAATTGTTATTTCTAGTCATCTTGTGTGATTTTTTAGACTAAAGCATCATAATAGTAAATAATCAACAATTATTTTGGACAATATATCCCAACATATATAATATAAATGATTGTTATTGTTTTCTCAATTTCTCTTTTTTTTTTAAATTTTTATGTATCTTTTGTTTTTATTATTGTATTTTGAATACAACTTGAACATGTCTTGTCTTGGTAATTGTATTTTATGCCATAATATATGCTATTTATAGTTAAAATTTATAGTTTTGTTAATCACTTGTCAACACATGTTTATGGTTTAGTAATTGGCATGGTCTAAAGAAATATCGGACACATCACCAAAAAAGTGTCAAACATGTGTTTGAAATTAAAATTTTATCATTTAATTGTGGATACAGATAAAAGAGTATCGAATAAATGTCTTGGAGTGTCTAATCAGTGTTGGTGTCTGATATGGATATATTACCTTCTTGAGAGTATCCGTGCTTAATAGGTTGGACGTGCACCAAGAGTCCATGTCTCAGATAATAAATTCAATATATACTTTTGTTGGCATAAACTGATACATTTTTTTGACCGAGTAACCTCAATCCCAAAAAAATCAAAGAACACCCAAATCGTTGGTATGAAATTGCTTCCACAAATGGACCTTGAAGTGGGCGGTACCATCTAAGTCATGATTATTAATGATAATGTCATCAATGCACATAATAAGAATAATAACACCAGTGGAAGAACTACAAATAAAAAATGAATGGTCTGAAGTAGAACACTGAAAATCATACTGAAATACAACAAGCACGTTGTCGTGATTGTTTCAGGCCATATAGTGCTTTCTTTAGATGACACACTAATTCTTTCCTAGATACAATATAATCTAGAGGTTGTAGCATAGCTACCTCCTCTAGTAGGTCTCCATATAAAAAGACATTCTTGATGTCCAGTTGATAGATAGGTCAATCACAACTCACTGCAATAGAAATAAGAATTTTAACAGATTTAAGACAGGCAACTGGAGATAAAGTCTCATAGTAATCCACACACTAGTTCTAGGTGAAGCCTTTGGTAACCAAACGGGCCTTCAAACGCTCGACTGAACTATTGGGATGATTCTTCATTGTGTAGACTTAACGACAACGGATAGTTTGCTTACTAGAAGGAAGGGAAGTAAAGTCTCATATCTGATTCTCATGAAGGGCTTTTATTTTCTCATCCATAGCTAAATTTCGACCGTGAGATGTCAATGCCTATTTTAAAGAGTTAGGGGCAAACACAGAAGGTGGAGTCGATAGAAAGAAACAAAATTAAAATGGGATGCTTGGTATAGTTATGAGTACCTCTCCTTAGTGTAATAAGTAGATCAAAAGATGATGAACTAGCTAACGGTGTAGAGGGCAGGAGCTCAAAAGAATCAGAGAATAGTTGGGAGCTGGAGCATTTGAAACTACCTATCTATCCTTGGAGCGACGACAAACCTGTAATGGAGGATTAGTAATCAGGAAGGAAGAAGAAACACAATTTGGTACAATAGGTAACAAGGGCTCCCTTTGACCAGGAAAGATTCACCCTTGGACTCTCGACCATGCGTAACACAACCAAAGACATGAATGAGGCCAAATGGCGGCTTACTAGGATAGAGCAACGAGAAAGGTCCCTGATTATCTAAGATGGAAGCAGACATCCGATTAATAAGGTATACCGAAAATAGTGCTTTGGGGCATGCAAGTTAAACATTAAAGCATGAGTGGCATCCAATATATGATGATGTTTATGTCAGACAATACCATTTTCCATAGATGTATGTGAACATGTAATTTGATGGATGATATCATGGTTAGCCAAACGATTGAACATACTCAAGAGCATTGTCAGAACGAAATAATTTTATATGCTTAATCAAACTTTATTAGAATTTCATTATAAAAGATAATAAAAATTTTAGCCAATTCAGAACGATCTTTTATTAAAAACCGAATCATACAAGAAAAATTATCCACAAAGATCACAAAATATTGAAATTCAAAGAGACTTTTTATTCTTTTAGGACTCCAAATATCTGAGTGAACAATATTAAGAGGACTAGCCTGATTACTTTTATTATTACTAGGGAAAGAAGTACGGTGACGCATGCCCAATTGGCAAGACTTACATTCTAACTTAAAAGAAGGATTCAAACTAGGAATAAATTGACGAAGCTTTTGCAATAACGGATGACCCAAGCAAAAATGCGACTTAAGTGGAGATACCTTGCCACTCAAGGCAGGTTGTTAAAAGATGTGTACCGACCACCAAGATTTTTCCCAAGTGACATCGTATAGGAAAGATCGCAAACTCTGCTACCAACTGATGCAGGGTATCGGGTAAAAATAAGAGTTTAATGAACGAAAAGGGGATAATGAAATTATACCGTTGATTTGTGTACAAATACCGATTTAGAATTCTACTCTAGTGCTGTTGATTCACAAGAATACCAGCTCTAAAGGCTTCAATTGATTTGCCGATTCCCAACACCACATATGAGCACTAGCTCTTAAATTAATAATTCAAGATGGTGAAGTTGAGTGTGTGGAATTACCTATCTTAGCAAAACAAGCAGTTGAAGTAGACAACTAGGGAGAAATTGATGATAACTATTCAATGAGCTGGCTGAACTACGAAGTAACAACTTCAAGAGAGCAAGATGTAGATCTAGTAGGTGCAGAGTAGATAGGTGGAGCCGAATCATCAAAGGCTTGAGTAGCATAGGCCAGCCTCCCATACTTGTCTCAATAATAATCCTCAGTATGGTTAGTGACCCCACAATAAGAACATTTTTCACTCTGAGAGATTACTATAACCACTATGACCCCCTCCGCCTTCACAACCAGTGTATCTACCTACACATATACTACCTTATGTCATATGACCACCCCCAATACATCCACCACGTGAAACACCACAACTACCATCACTAAAGAGTAAAATAGAGGACTTTTGTAAAGATGAAGAATTGCCATGAGTAAGAAAAGCTCGTTGAAGGCGAGAATAAACACTGACAGTAGTTGGAAGTGTTTCACTAGCTAAAATTTGATTTTTAAATACACCATACTCTGAGTTGAGGCTGAATAGGGACAACACATCATGAAACACTCCACGTTGTTGTTGTTGAATCTCCAGATCTGCATTCAGTGGCTGGTATTGTAACGCCCCAAAATTCACCCTGGAAGGCACTGACTATCTATACAACATCCAATCATGAGAGCATATTAAAGTATCATTAAATAAATA